ACCACCAAATCCATGACCAGCACCACCTCCGACTCCACCACCTATACCACCCCCAGCTCCACCACCTATACCACCTCCAGCTCCACCGCCTATACCACCTCCGGCTCCACCGCCAAATTTACCACCAACACCTCCCCCAACTCCACCTCCAATTCTAGCGCCCTTGCCAATCAACCCTGTCTTTTCATTATCATCCCTCACATTTCTAGCGATCACTAAAGTTGCCACAAAGTAAACGCATAGTAATGACAAAATTTTCATTCTCCTCTTTGCCATTCTAAGAAATGCTTCGAATTATATTCTTCACCAGAAATTACAAATAATTTCTTTTGTGAACTACTAATATACGAAGCTAATGCTCAGTTTATATAGTGTGTATGTCAGTTTTTCATATTCAAACAAATCAAAGATATAATTAATTTTCTCAACCAAAACCTAATTTCCTCTTAGTTAATTAAACTTGAAGTCTTCGGCCTTAAATGTGGAACAGGCACTTCTTCATGCATGACATATTTTTTCTTATAGCACAGGAAAACTCTCAAGAAAAGAAGGCCATTACGATTAGGTTTTCGCACCTCTGTTTTGACAAATTTATAATTCCATGCACATCATTAATTATATTAGTCTCTAGAATTAATATGGAAGCTAACAGCTCACCTTATTTCAAAAGGTGCCTTCCAGAATTATCGCCTATTCTGGGAAGTACTTTTTGAATCGGTTTTTTTACAAGTAACCGATTCAAAAAGTACTACCTAGAATTGACTCGTTCCTATTTTGAGAGGCGCTTTTTGAATCGGTTGTTTCCAAACAACCGATTTAAAAGAGTATTTTTTTTAAAGATTCTGTTTCAATGCACAGCAAAGCAGGAGAACACCGCAGACAATGACCCAAAAAACATGATAAAGCATACCTTAAAAACACAACTTTTACACAGTAATATAACAATATAGTGCTAGAATGAGTGTTTGTATGAAATAATCACAGAATTGAATACATACTTGAAAAATTTGTTGTATCTAAGACTTAGAGCCCGTGCTTTAGAACTGAAAAAAAAGTGTTGGATAATGGAAGAAACTGGAAGGAACTGGAATGAACTGGAAGAAACCGAAAGAAACTGAAAAAACTTCAAAAAATTGGATAACCTAAAAAAACTTTTAAAAAATTATTTTAGTGTATTTCTATATTATTCTCATTCTAATTCTTGTTATAAATTATTATTATCATCATCATCATCATCATCATCACGTTATCTTAATGAATGTCTTTAAGATAAAAAAAGTATTGTTATTTTTTATACACAAAAAACTACTTTTGCAAAAAAAAATAATTATAATATAGAGTTAATATAAATATCAAAATGTTAAATTTTAAAAAGTTATTGCAGTTACGTTGCACCTCCATTTATTTATGCAGTATTTATTATAAATAATATATTTTTAATTATACTTTATATATTACAAGATTTTGTTTTAAATATCAAGCATGTCACATAATGTAATCAAATCTATTTTTCTTTCATGATTGACATTTTATTTTCATTGTAACTCCTATTTTTGGAATAAATACATAGAACTTTTTCATATTTTTAATGTTTTACTCCTATTTTAGTATTTCAATTTTTTTATAAAAATTAGAAAAATGAGAAAATTTTGAGAAATAAAGGGAAAAGGAGGTGTCTTATATAGAGTTAGATTAATAAAACATTCTATATAACTATTTTATACATAATTTTTTAATCTAGTTTAAAATATTGATGTTTTCTTGTTTTATCATGTAGATTAATATACAAAACAATTGTCTTATACATATTAAAATTTTGAAGGAAAAATAATGAGTGTGATTCGTAACAATAGTGAGATGAAAAAAATCATTTATAAACTACATTTATGAACATAACACTTGTAATAATAATAATAATAATCACATTAAAAATATATCCTTTTTAGAGTAATTGGTTGGTGAGTAGAAAAAGTTTGAAGAAAATGAGAATAGTTGGATGGAACTAAAAGAAATTGGAAGTTAAGAGTTTAAGCCTTAAAGAATGGGTTCTTAAAGTGGTTTGTTTTCTCTAAAAGAACCAACTAAGTTTTTTCCAGTTAATACGCTTTCTTTTTGCAAGATGTTCCACTTTTACCCCTTTACATTTAGAACTCCATTTTTTTTATTTTACTATGTCAGTTTTTGATAGACCTGGCAATCGGGTCAATCGGTTTTGTTCTGGTTTGGATCTTTTTGGTTCGGGTCTCTTTCAGATATATATTATAATCGGTTCGGGTCGGTTCAGTTCGGAGCAGTTCGGTTTCGGGTTTAATTATGTTTTATTTTTTCCTGGTTTTGGGTCGGTTTTTGTTTGAGTTTATATCGATCTGGGATTATACCGATTCGAGTTTATACCAGTTCAGGTTTATATCGTTTCGGGTTTATACCGATTTCGGATGAGATTCCTTGGTATTAGAGTTCCTAATGTTAACCTTGTGTAGTTGTGTGTAGTCTCTCCTTCTTATGTGAAAAGGCCAGGAGTATATATACAAGTGTCAGCTATAATGTGCTAGTATATCCATTAATGTGTGTTAGGATGTCACTATATAGTATATAAACTCTTTATAAAAATAGACAACAATATTAGTTTTAGTGATAAAATACGGAGTACAAGATTTGTACATTAAATTAGTTGTACCTATAATTCAATTATGTTTTTCTTAGAAATACATCAACCAATGAGCTATTAGGTTTGTCTGAATTTGAGTTTAATTTGTTTTGAACTTGATCAATATCGGCTTTAATCCGTTTTTGGGTCTAATTGGTTTCGGGTTTAATCGATTTCGGGTATAATCGGTTTTGGGTTTAATCGGTTCAGATCTAACTTGTTCGGGTTCTATCGGATACGGATCTGAATCAGGTCTGAATACATTCGGTTCGGTTTCGGTTTGCATCATTTCGAGTGTTCAGATTTAATTCGGTTCTTCAGTTTTCGGGTCATTTCAGATTCGGTTCCGGATTATTCGGGTCGGATTATCAGGTTTGGGTCAGTTTTGTCAGGTCTAATTTTGATTTTCTTTATTTTATCAGAATTTACTCCGTAATTAATCATATATTACTCCTAAACTTTAGGGAATGGAATAATTCTATTATCTTCCGATTCTTTCTTAGTTCATCAGCTCGTGTTCTCCTCGTTTATCCTTTTTATTTAGAAATCCTATTTTTTATTTCAATATGCTGATTTCATTTATGGTGTACTTTTGTCTTTAATTTAATTTGTATGACTGAAGTAAAATTTTAAAAAATAAAATTTGTACATCTAAAAAAATCAATACTTCTAAAAATAAAATGTGACCGCAATATACTTAATATGTACGGAGTATTATTTTATCGAATAAGTAAATGAAATTAAGTAAAAAAATTAAATTTTTACTAGGTTGTGCACAAATCGAAATGGTCTGATTTATGTTTTTAGTTCCCCATGTTTAAAAATTGATGTAACGTCGCTTAGTTTTTATGACCATTCAAAAAAAAATATTACTCCCTCCGCCCTATATCTTTCTTCCCGTTGCGCAAAACGAAAAAAAAATTCAAGTTTTTTCAATCTATTTTATTTAAATATTGGTATAGAAATAAAAAATCAAACATACATATTTAAAAACAACATCAAAAGTTCAACAAAACAAGTGATGACAAGAATATTTTATTTTATCATATAGGCCATGAAAAAACACAAATAAATATAAATTCCCGTGAAGTTGGAATAGTGCTCTGGAAAGAAAGTTTTAAGACGGAGGGAGTAGTTCTTATGACATTATCTTAATGTCCTCAGATCTCAAAGAATTTCAATTCCATTCATGAGTTATGATTAAATCTAAAGACATTATCTGATCTCATGTCATCATCGAAAATTGTCCAAGGACATTATTAGACTTGAATCCGTACACATCACGGTTCAAAATATATCCTGAGTTGTTTTCAAGTCATTACGATACAAAAACAAGGTACAATTATATATTCCTTACGTACTTCGCATATAAAAACAAGAGGATTTCAAAATAAATAAATAAATATATATATAAAATGATTAAAGTTTGACCATGTAAATAGTAAACAAAATTTAAATTTAGACACAAAGAGTATAATAATATAAGTAGTCTTTTCTTAATCCATTGTTTAATAAAACCATATCATGTTGCTAGTTTTCTTTTGTTCAATTCTACGGAGTATTTGTTACTACTCCGTATGTTTTTAAAATTTTATATACTTAAATACGAGTAGTTTTTACGACGTTATCTAACTTTATGTCCTCAGACGCCAAAGAATATAATATTTCATACACGAAACCAACCTTTAATGTTGTACAAGACCCATAAGGCCAATCCAATCAAATCACAATTTGCACACATTTGTACCATATCTCGATATGCAATTTAAATTTGACCAATCTTCACAAAATGATGACTTAAGCAAGTGCCTTATAACATTCAACTATTATTCTTTATGAAACTAATAAGTTATATAAAAATAAAAAATAAAACACGTCTTCAAACTAGCAAACTAGCATAAAATTTGAATATTTGTTGGTCATCATCATTCAATACTTCTTTCACACGATATTCACCCCATTATACATAGGTTACAAAAACTGTTTGTTTTTACTCCAAATTTTCCAATCAACAAATCTTCATTATAGATCCTTTGATAAACCTATCACAACCACACGCATGAAAGTTACTCATTTATAAATAAACATCAAATTTTATTCTTTTTGGATACTACTCTCAGTTTTCATTATCCTCTGAAATGGCAAAATCACAATTACTCAGATTTAGTCATTATATTTGCAAATGGCCAAACCCCTAGCTACTAAGCTATAACCAATAATAACCATTTGCATTAATCATAAATAAATGTCTATAAACAAACACTTAAACTTCTATTAAAAATGTCCTTTCATTCACTTTTCATTCACTTTAGAAACATAAGGCATTATCAAGTCATTTATAGTCACTTTATTCCACATTTACACTAATGCCCATCTTCATATGGTCATTGTAATTGTAAATAATTATCAAACAACATACTTGCACTTATGTATACATATACTACCTTTTACCAAGATGCAAACATACTCTCGTTCACAAAAACATAAACTTTTAATCAACAAACATGAGTAATCAACAAAATGTCTATTAACATACACCTCAAATAATATTATAAAAATTCCCTTTTAATGTCCAAGTAATCATACATAGTCTAGAATCAACCAACATAATGTCTATAAACAAATACTCCCTCCGTTCTTAAAAAGTATTCATATTTTGACTAAATGTAAAAATAAGGAAGTGTTAAATTATAGTTGATTTCCAATTTTGCCCTTGATGTGATGGGTAAAAGTAAGATATGATGGATAGGTTATTAGAGAAAAAGTATGATGTGATAGGTAGGGTATGAAAAAGTAAGGGTAAAAGGAGTTTTTTAATAGAAAGTGGAAGTGTTTTGTTGAAAGTGGAAAAAATGAAAGAGGAAGTGTTTTTGAAAACGGAGGGAGTACCTTACAAAAATATGCCATAAAATGACTCTTTATAGTCATTACGAATGTTGAAAATGACCATACGTTGTTATTAAGACAACCAATATTAATATCCACTTATCAAGTCATGAAACCATAAGTTGTTGAAGACTTGTCGTATGGTCCAAAACAAATTAAAAATTTATAAATAACCTTAACTAACCCTCAAGATATAATTAAATAAAAACTATAGCTAAGGCAAGTAAGGGTCGATCCCACAAAAAAAAGTTTGTACTTTTGCAATCAAATTAGCATTTTAACGCCCTAGAAACTCGTCTAGAAGTTAATTAATAATTAAATAAATAAGAATTATTTATTTACGATAATCTATTCTTTCAAAGAATTAAGAGATATTTTAGAGATTCTAATCTTCTCAATATAACAAAACGAATCTGATTATACTTGTAAAGATTTAAATTAAAAGACTGATTGGCACTAATTAATCGAAAGAATTAAGACGGACCAGGTGGAACTGGTAAATGCTTGTCAATTGATTATAAAAGTTTATTCTCTATGGGAAGACAATTCGATGCAGACCTTATCGAACTTCCTCATAGGGAATTCGATGTCATCTAGGGGATGGATTGGTTAACTGCACAAGAACCAATAGTAGATTGTGGGTCAAGGACTCTCCAACTAAAAGCTGAAGGTGAAGAAAGGATTCTGATAACCGGCGACTTGCCACCGACGACACCGCAGTTCATATTGTTGATGCAAGCAAAGAGATTGGTTCGAAAGAAATGTGAGGCATATTTGTGCAATATCCAAGATACCCGAAAAGAAATGTAACACCTTAATCCGTATAACCCGGAATTACACATATTAAGGTGAAACCGGAGTTAAATAAAAATTTTGCTTGACATTTGAAAATGACAGTATCTTATAAATTTAAATTTTCAAACTCTGAATCGCGACCCATTTCAAAATATTTTCGGAGTAATGCGGAAGTACAATAATAATCAAATCATGACACATTTAAAATCTTGATGATCAACATTTGTCTGCAATCCTTGCATCTCCTCTGACTCAATGTCCTCCGGGAGTGGTTTCATCATTATCTTCTTGTTACCTACGTGTAGTCAATGAAAAATACAAACTACACGCTCAGCGAAACCGCTAAGTGGTACCACTCTAGAATTGTAGAATAATTCACAGACATTTACATATACATATATATACGTTCACAAAAATGTATAACAATATTCATCACATGGTACATTATATAATATGATCAAGTTGATGGTTTATGATGATGAATATTTAATGATGATTACCTGATGGCACATTTAATCAATATAATTATTCTTGATGATGATTACATGATACCTATGTAATCAATATGATTGTACTTGATGATCATAACATGATTGCACATTTAATCAAATTGACTGTTCTTGATGATGATTATATGAAACCTATGTAATGAATATAATTGTACTTGATGATGATAACATGATGCATGAACCTAACGTGCAAGGACGACCCTTGCGCTATGAGATTCGCCCAGGTTGTACGACGAACTCACGCCACCTTAGTCTCACGAATGAGGTGAGACTAGAAACAATATGGGGGTGGTACTCGAAAGCCATAATACCATGTACGTACTTTAAGCCCGAACGTGTGATGTCGGACTGCTAAGTCCCGCACAATCACGCTGTAAGAGACGCACGAGGCATGATCTCTTAGGCATGCATATGATGTGATACACTTTAATATGAATGATGAAATGAATGATATGATATGAACAATTTGCAAACAATATGAATATATAATCATGCATTAGTTTATTTGGTTGAAACATGATTAAATTATCATTTTAATAAGCTTCGGGCCTCGTAACGGTTGACCGTTTGACACGGCGGTCGACCGTGGTTCAATTCATCTCGGAGGAACGAAATTACTGTGACGGTCGACCGTGCCTGACCGTTGTTGACTGCTTGAGTTTGGCTGCGTTCGGCTGAGCTTTGACGTTCGACCATTTGGCTACGGCGGTCGACCGTTCTGTTGGCAGTCGTAGTCCGTTTTGAAGTTTATTACGACGGTCGACCGTTTCAATCAACCGTTCGGGTCTGCGAATCTTACTCTTGATATTTTGAGTGCCTAAAATACTTCTTTAAGTCTTTTAAACACCTTTGATTAACATATACATGTTGTTGGATTATTTTCCAATATTTATATTTGTTTATGTATATCTATTAACTTTATGAATTTGGTGTATTTTGATCTCAACACATGGATGACTTATATATGTATCATATATATATTTTGGGATGATTTCAACATATGGATTAATATATATGTTCATGTACGTATGTGATGAACGATTCGATAATTCTAACGCAAGGGTACAGACCATATATTCGATGATGAACATGGAACGTGAAAAGATAACGTCTCAATGAACGTTCAACGTATGGTCATTCTTATCAACTTCAATCTTCCAACGTCCAATCCTTTTTGAAAATACCTTCTGGAAGTTCCTAATAACCGTTAGAGAGTTGACGATAAGCGTTGGGAAAGAAACGATATGAATATGGTGAAGAAACATAGCCAATCCCGAGGAGCTCGCCACCACTGGCGCAGTCCCCGTATTTTGGACATATCTCCTTCGTTACTTAACGAAATCGCAAACCGTTTGTTGGGATGGATTCATATCGTCCGGGGCTACAACTTTGGTGTATAAAGTGTTTCGAGACAATGGATGGAAAAATTCAGTTTTTACCTCAAAGTGGACTGATGTGTTTTGGTTTCAGGATTTTTAGACTTTATGGTATCCTTCTTGATTCTTCTTCTTCCTTAGCATACAACCATGGAGATGAAACTTTCTTTCCCTTTTCTTGATGCTTGACCGACAGAGAGAGAATGGAAAGGAAAGAGGAGTGTTGTGGATGGATGATGATGGTGGTGGTGAAGTTGTGTAGGAAATGGTTGAGATTTGGAGTATTATATAGAAATCTTGACTTATTTGGTAGTGGAAAAATAATGTGGTGGCTAGTGGAGCAAAATAGGGGCTGCGTGATTTGGGAGGGATTTGATAATTTATGTTTTGGCTTTTTGCCAAAACTGAACAATTTACTCTAACCGGTACACGCTTTTTCGCCCAAACTGCTCCCATTTGAAAACGGATTGTATTTTTGGAATCAGACTGTCAAAACTAGAATTTTGACGTAATCAAAATATTTTTCTGAAAAACTTTTATCTTTTTAATGTCTGGGTTTGCCTCAGTCATAAATTAATTTAATAATATGAATGAGATGAAAATATATGAATTAAATCCAAATGATGAATATGATGTTGTTTAGTGTCAAAGATTAAGATTTTCTAATCATATGAAATCACTTTTGAATTGATTTTAATTTATGGGTCGAAGTTACAAATTTTAATATTTAAAATCGTCATAACTTGAAATCTATAAATCAGATTGGTTCATAAAATGTACCATTGGATTCGTCTCTTCGAGACATATCCATTAAAAATAAGTTTTTAACAAAAAGTCATTATTTTGAAAATCCTTTTATTTTTGGTCAAACGTATAAATATTCCTTATTGGACAAAAACTACTTTTGTTTTATAATAAATTTTAGGTCATATTTTGTGGCATTACAAGAAGTCTTAAAGTTGAAAGACATTCGGACAGTATGCCGCTTCCCGGACGTATTCCCAGAAGAGCTACCAAGGGTACCACCCCCAAGAGAAGTGGAGTTTTCAATTGATTTGTTTCCCGGTACTAATCCGATATCGATTGCTCCTTATCGAATGGCTCGTACCGAAATGAAGGAATTGAAGGCTCAATTGCAAGAGCTTCTCGATAAGGGATTCATTCGGCCGAGTGTTTCACCTTGGGGAGCACCAGTGTTATTTGTGAAGAAGAAGGATGGATCGATGAGGTTGTGTATCGACTACCGGCAATTGAATAAGTATACGGTGAAAATAGATACCCGCTACTAAGAATACATGACTTGTTTGACCAACTTCGTGGAGCATCAGTTTTCTCAAAGATAGACCTCAGATCACGATATCACCAACTACCAGTGAAGAAGGAGGATATTACGAAAATAGCGTTTCGGACAAGGTATGGCCACTATGAGCTTACTTTGATGTCGTTTGGGTTGACAAATGCCCCAGCGGTCTTTATGGAGCTCATGAACAGCATCTTCCGACCATACTTGGATCAGTGTGTGGTGATCTTTATTGATGATATTCTGGTATATTCTAAGTCACCTGAGGATCATGATCGACATTTGTGTATGGTGTTGGAGATTTTGAGGAAGAACAAGTTGTACACCAAATTATCCAAATGTAAATTTTGGTTAAAGGAGGTGACATTTCTCGAACACATCCTGTCGGCGGAAAGAATTAAAGTAGACCCGGCTAAGATAGCTGCATTAACTGAGTGGAAGCCTCCTAGGAACCCTAGGGAAGTAAGAAGTTTCCTAGGATTGGCAAGATATTATCGACGTTTTGTGAAGGGTTTCTCATCAATAGCATCACCATTGCATAAGCTAACTAGGAAGGATGTAAAGTTTGTATGGACAGAGAAGTGTGAAGAGAGTTTTGATCGGTTAAAGAAGTGCTTGACAGAGGCACCAGTGCTTACTCAGCCAACTCCAGGTGTAGGCTATACTATATTCACTGATGCATCTCATTTTGGGCTGGGATATGTATTGATGCAGGAAAGGAAGGTTGTGGCCTATGCGTCTGATAATTCCGTTTTATACGCACTTATCTTCTCTATATTTAATGTGTTGTGGTCCAATTTTGGATTAAAAAAATCAATTTCTCAATGGTTTTTATATCTTTTATTCATAATTGCAAATGTGCACAAAAGTTATGTCTATTTTTTAAAAAGAATAAAAATTGAGTCAAAAGTGGTAAAAAGTGTAAAAGATTGTGCAAATGGAATGCAACGGAGCAAAGAGATTTGTTCGGAATTTGAAATCGGCACAGAAGGAAAAGTTGTCCAGAATACAATTTTGAGCAAGACTGTATTTTTAGAAAATATTTTCGGACCGGATCAAAATCCGGCCAACCAGGTGCTGCCACATGGCGCGACCTGGCTGGCCGGCCAACTGTAGCAGCAGCAGCAAGGTGGCACGTCACATTTTGCAGCCACCACAAATCCACAATTTCAATCATTCAAACAAAGAAAGAAAAAATTAACAAAAAGGGAGTAAGGGACGAAAGAAGAATCGCCGTGCAAATCAGCCAAACCTGCGCAGCCATACGCACTACTACTCCAGGCGCGCGCCTGCACCTCAGGCCCACGCCTGTCGGAGGCCTGGACCGAAAATTTCTCCTATAAAAGGAGGCATTCGCCCCTTCATTCCAATCCAGCCTTCTTCCGGGTCTTTAAGGCCCGGAACTCCATTCTCCGCTCTTTTCTCAGTTATATTTTAATATTTTAGTTTACTTTTGTTCCGATTGTCCCAAAGTGGCTCCGACTCTGCTCTCTGTTGTAAGTTTAAATTCTTGCAATTTTAATAAAATGTTCGTTTCTTTTATGCACTGTTGATATCTAGTATGGGTTAAGGCCCAGATTAGGGTCCTGGCTAAATTTGGGCANCCCGAAGTCTAGTCCTATACCCGTACTATTTATTTTCTTTTTCTCAAAAGCATCCAGTAGTTTATTTTATTATTATTTTCAAATCAAATCGAGAAGACTTTCAGACCCGTCTTAACCTTCGTCTAGTTAGAAAAATTAGCTAATTCCCTTCGTCCACTCCTCGAGAGACACGACACTCGGAGAAAACTAACCCTTCATTGGGAAAGTTAACTTACCGAAAAACTCAATCATCAAATGGCGCCGTTGCCGGGGAGTGGCACGGTTTTAGTTTAATTTTTTAATTAGCTTGGGTGAAGACTGGTTAGGTCGATCTTCTCACCTCTTTTCCACAAACCACCCGTAGTAATCATTAAAAATGAATTTTCGAGATGATTACTACGATCCACCTCCTTTCTACCAACCACCCAACCATCCACCATCATTTTCCCAATAGTCCAATTCCTATCCACCATCACCACCACCATATTATCCACATCAGGATTCATATTATGATCACTACTCAGTCAATAATGGACCTGATTATTATCCATACCATGAGGAAGCACCATACAATACCCCGTCTCGGAGCTTTGGATATTCTCCATACCAAGACAACTGTGAGGATTATTATGAACCTCATGGTGATCAAGATGATTATGACGAACAAGGGCCAATGTACGATGACCAGCTAGATCCACTTATTGAAGAGATTTTGTGGACTGAGAAAAGAATACTTTATCTTGACCTCGCATTAGTAATGGAGTGTTCATTATTTGAACCACGCTATTGCCGTGATTACTCTCTGACTCGTGAAGAGCAAATTGAAGCAAACAGAGATGCAATCCAGGCGAGAGAACAATTTCTCAAAACAGTCCAAGAAGAACGCCAACTGCTCCAAACCCAGAAAGATAACGAACAACGCGAATATTGGGAGCATATGCAAAAGATGCTGGAGGACTTTAAGAAGGCTATGGAACAACAAGAAGAGATGGAGGAAATTGTTGTTCTAGAAGAGGATGAAGAATCTGAGACAGAATCTGAAACTGAATCCAACAATGTCTCAATTCTTGAATATCCACAAACTCCATCACCACTGTATATCAAAAATAAGATAACACTTGCAGAAATGATTGCACGAGGTACAGTGGTGATGCTTCCTGAAAGCCCAAAAAGTCAAATCGTACGAGAGGTGAAGCCTACCGAGGGTTTTGTCTCGGAAACGCCTTCACCCGTTGCACCAGAAACGTTGGAGGAACCTGTCCTCCTAACATGTGTTGAAGACACTTCTCCAGAGGAACCTGTTCTGGAGAAATTAGAACCCATCACCAACCCTTTTGATCATGAAGACTCAGGGGAAAGAATTGCCCTAATCATCGAGCCACCAACAGAAAGTCAGCCCATTGGGGACTTAGAAAGTCATGTACTGGCGATTAAGGCCAATGATGTGGATAAACCAAGGAGACTCACACCACCACCCATCCAAAACGAGTCTCCTCCATTTTTCCTGTTGCCACCACGCTGCAGGAATGAGTCAAAGATCCTGGACTTTGACTACAAAAGAACAGAACAAAGGTGGCATCAGAAGAGAGTCAAAAAAAAAGGTCAAATTTTATGACTCTCGGATCGGTAAGTCCCGTAAAAAACGGGCTAACGTCAAGCTAGTGACGTTAAAGAAGCGCTTCTTGGGAGGCAACCCAAGTAAATAAATTTTATTTTTTTTCTTTTTCCTTTTTACGCGTTTTGTGTGTTTATGTGTGCAGGTGGAGTTTGGAATTAGGAGTGCTGGTGAACCATTTTTGACTCAACAAAAAAAAAAGAGGAATGACTAACTTTTGTGCACAATTTTGTAAAAACTTTTTTTAAAAAGAAAAAAAATTGAGATTATCTGTGTCCCAAACTCTTGTTTTTATCGCTTAATGACCTCGAGGGCGAGGTCAACCCTAAGTGTGGGGAGATTGGAGTTTGGTACAGAATATTTTTATTTATGTAGGAAAACTTTTTGAAAATATTTTTATACACTTTGTTGCATTTTTCATATTAATACTGATCTCTACACCGTGTACGGAATGACTGTCTAAGCTGGAATGGTACTTAAGTGGACACAAAGGGTGACGCCTTCGGGAGCTGAACTTGTCCCACCATTCCTACTGGGTCATTTCGTAGAAAGGTTTATTCGGGTGAGCCTAAGAGCACCTAATTGGCAGCATTCTGCCCGATCCCGAATACTCTGAATCGGTCTAGTTATCACTATTGATATTTTTAAAATTGTTTTACATTTTTTTACTCTTTTCATAGGTAGAATTATTTTTAATAGTCTCCTTATGCAAAAATTAGCCAAAATTTTAAAATTTTTTTCTTTGAATTGCACATATAGTCTTTTTATTGGTTAACTTTAATAAGTTTTGTAAATAAATAAATCTGGATACTAATGTGTTGAAAAGAAATCATTGTTTTAGTGAATAAATATTAACTCGTAAAATACGTTAAGGTCAAACATTTGTAACTTGTCATTTAAAATGATGCTGTTTCACTACTTCAAATTGAGTATGAACAGAATATTTTTCTGAAAATTTGATATTTCAATGATTGCATTGTAAGTTTTGAAAAAAAAAGTCAAAAATTCAAAGAACACACTTTGGTGAGACCAAGTTCTGGAGTGAATTCAAAGTCAAAAAGCATTTGGTTCTATGTCAGATGATGAGACTTATTTTGAAGTGAGTGCCAAAAAGCATGCGGTTCTATGTCGTGTGATGAGGTTTTTGAGTGAATAAAAATCCAAAAAGCTCATGGTTCTATGTCATGGGATGAGGATCAAAGTTTTTGCTTGTGTCAACATGACAAAGTGATGTTCTACAAAAAAATTCAAACTTACTCTTTGCATAGGAATAAATGATAATTTCAGAAAATTTTTTTTTATTTTGTTTTTCAATGTACATATTTTTTACCTTAAATTATTTTGCAGTTATTATATAACACTTACAATTTTTTTTTAGACTTTAGTATCCAAGTTTGTAAATGGACAACTTTTACATTTAGCCAATAAAATTAATTTATGTGCATCTTTTAGGAAAAAAAATATTTTGCTAATTTTTTTTGTAAAAAGGGTGCTATTTCTAGTAGTTCTATTTTTGTAAAGATTAAATAATGTAAAAAAAAATTTGTGTAACAAATTGTTTAAAAGTGTGATCAATAGTTTTCCCAAAATATTTTTGTAAATAAGTGTTTGATCCAAAGTTTCATTTGTTGTTGTACTTTGTTGCTTGAGGGCAAGCAACGCTTAAGTGTGGGAAATTTGATAATTCCGTTTTGTACGCACTTATCTTCTCTATATTTAATGTGTTGTGGTCCAATTTTGGATTAAAAAAATCAATTTCTCAATGGTTTTTATATCTTTTATTCATAATTGCAAATGTGCACAAAAGTTATGTCTATTTTTTAAAAAGAATAAAAATTGAGTCAAAAGTGGTAAAAAGTGTAAAAGATTGTGCAAATGGAATGCAACGAAGCAAAGAGATTTGTTCGGAATTTGAAATCGGCACAGAAGGAAAAGTTGTCCAGAATACAATTTTGAGCAAGACTGTATTTTTAGAAAATATTTTCGGACCGGATCAAAATCCGGCCAACCAGGTGCTGCCACATGGCGCGACCTGGCTGGCCGGCCAACTGTAGCAGCAGCAGCAAGGTGGCACGTCACATTTTGCAGCCACCACAAATCCACAATTTCAATCATTCAAACAAAGAAAGAAAAAATTAACAAAAAGGGAGTAAGGGACGAAAGAAGAATCGCCGTGCAAATCAGCCAAACCTGCGCAGCCATACGCACTACTACTCCAGGCGCGCGCCTGCACCTCAGGCCCACGCCTGTCGGAGGCCTGGACCGAAAATTTCTCCTATAAAAGGAGGCATTCGCCCCTTCATTCCAATCCAGCCTTCTTCCGGGTCTTTAAGGCCCGGAACTCCATTCTCCGCTCTTTTCTCAGTTATATTTTAATATTTTAGTTTACTTTTGTTCCGATTGTCCCAAAGTGGCTCCGACTCTGCTCTCTGTTGTAAGTTTAAATTCTTGCAATTTTAATAAAATGTTCGTTTCTTTTATGCACTGTTGATATCTAGTATGGGTTAAGGCCCAGATTAGGGTCCTGGCTAAATTTGGGCATATACTCTGTATGTTTATTTAATAGTTGGAATAATTGTTCTAGAATTATTTTTATTGTTAAATTAATTAGTTATGTCGAGAGAAAAATTAATTAATTATTGGAAATTAGTTTTTGCCTTGTCTATGAGGATATAAAATTAATTAAGCCAAACTTTTTTAGAACACATTAATGTTGCCTTGAGAGAGGATAAGTTAATGAAATATTTGTGACAGAAATATTATTATTCCAATTATTGATTAAATATGTGACAACAGTAGTTAACTCAGATGATGCCTTGACCCGAAGTCTAGTCCTATACCCGTACTATTTATTTTCTTTTTCTCAAAAGCATCCAGTAGTTTATTTTATTATTATTTTCAAATCAAATCGAGAAGACTTTCAGACCCGTCTTAACCTTCGTCTAGTTAGAAAAATTAGCTAATTCCCTTCGTCCACTCCTCGAGAGACACGACACTCGGAGAAAACTAACCCTTCATTGGGAAAGTTGACTTACCGAAAAACTCAATCATCAGCGTCGAGACAACTCAAAGCTCACGAGCTCAACTATCTTACAAATGATCTAGAATTGGCTCCAATTGTCTTAGTTACTGAAAGGCAACCCAGATATTTAAACTTTTGTTTTTTATGCATTTTATTTACTCTTTTCGTTTCTTTTATTCTCGTCTTTACTTGCATTTTGCCTGCCCTGCATGTTTAATTGTCATATCTTATGATCCCCTCCCTCTCATTTTGCATCTATTTTGTTGTTTTTCATGTCCCATGTTGTTAATTATTTCATCTTGTATGTGCATAAGTTCATCATTTATATATCATTTTCATGCATTGAGGATACTGCATGATTTAAGTGTGGGGGGACGCTTCTGCATTTAGTTATGCATATTTTAGGAAAAATTTGTTTGCATGTTTTTGTACACATACTAGGAGCATGAATTGGGTACAAAAAATCATGTCAAAACTTGCATTTTGGATGCAATTTGGTTAAAAAATTAATTAAAATTTTTAAAAGTTTTTGAAGAAACAATAACCTTTCACCTAAAAATCTCTATAAGAAAAAGAAAAGTTCAAAAAAAAGTTTGAAACCATAATAGTTTCTTTTTATCTTTTAGCACTCTTAGGTGTTGTATTTTTGCATTAAATAGAAATTAAATTTGTAACAAATATGTTTGAATTTCTTTAAAAATGAGTTTGCTACTATAAATTTTAAATCATTTCTTTTACGTCAAATCTATCTGGAACTTATTTTTGTTCAATTTCATACCTTTTAATTAGTTAAGTTCAATGTGCACAATTTATTCAGAAATATATGGAGAAGTTTTCAAACTAACTCTTTTTGTCCTATGTTGCATTTCAAGTAAAGTTAGTCTTAAGAAAATTCTTTTTTCTTTTTCTAAATTTTGGTTATTTACATATTATCAAGATGCTGAAATGAATAAATAAATAAACTGGAACACCATCTTAAGTTGGAATGGGTGGCACGGCTAGGGCGGGAAACGGTACCGGTACGGTACCGTTACCGGCAACGCTACCGCCGGTACCAGCTACCGTCGCGCGTTACGTAACACCGGTTTCGGGAACCGGTACTGGCACCGCCCCTCTCGGTACCGGTTCCGGTGCCAAAATTTCAGTCCCGGAACCGCCGGTACCGTGACTTTTTTTTCCCCTGCAACTCTATAACACTTCTCCTGCCTGTCGTGCCGGCCCACCACCTGCAAAAAAAAGGAAACATTAAAGGGGGGAGGGACCCCTCAAACGGCTACTTAGCCATTGAGGGCAAGGGGGAGGGTTTGGGAATTGGTGGGGGGGGGGTTAGGGAATGGGGCATTGGGGGGTGTGAATACATTATAAATATATTGATTTTTTTAAAAAAAATCACACAACTCTCAATTCTCAACTCTCAATCTCTCAAATCTCAATTTCTCATTTTTCAATCTATTCCTCATTTCATCTCTAATTATCTATTAATTCTTATTATCTCTTTTTCAATCTTTATACAATTTATATTCATATAATAATATAAATATATATTGATATATTATTATTTACTAATATATTATATTATTAATTTTTTATAAATTAATATTATAATTTTGAAATTTAATATATAATTAATATTTTAAATATTTAATATAGTCCTTTTTTATCAAAAAAATATATTAAAATGTCGAGAGAGACTGGTAGAAGGTCCGTGAATATGGGCGCCGTGAACCGAAGTTCGAGGAAAGGCAAAGCTAAAGCCACGCGTCTACCGTTAACTCTAAACGAGGTATTGACGGGAAAAGGACGTGCCTAATGCTCTGCCGCCTCATTTTGGACGGAAAAAAGACCAAAAGTTAAGGGGTTTAACAAAGTTGAGCCTTAAGGAGTACTCCCTCTGTTCACCATAGATATTCCCAGTCACTATTTACAGGGTCAAACTTCACTTACTTTGTTTGCTCGTTTTTACTAGTTATTTCATAAAATAATATAGTTTTGTCACCTCTAGTTTTGTAGAATTTTTCATATAGTTTATTACTATATAAATTTTATTTTAAAATTTTACTCCTATAATCAATTAAATTGAATTAAAAATAAAGTCAGTCAAGCCACGTTACGGGAAAATCTTTGGTGGACGGAGGGAGTATTATATTAGGGGAGATGTCAAACTTGCCAAGAGAGGGAACTAGGGAAGAGGGAACAAAGAGTATTGGGCCAAATTGGTTGGAAATTGACCCAATTGTTTTAAAATCGGAAAAAAACAAAGGGGCTGCCAAGAATTATATCAAAACAGCCGCCTCACGTCTCAGGAGCCCAGTGGATTATGAGCAGCGAAGGAAGGGAAGTCCGGCGTTGAATTGGAGACTCCAACTTCGTGTGTACCTACGGAAAAGACTCCCCCCTCCAACTCTACAGCGGGCAGCAGCGAGAGGCCAGGGGGGAGACAGATCGGAGCAGAGGACAGAAGAACCGGCCTAGGGTTCCGACCCTAGGTCCGGCGACGGCAAGGTCCGGCGTGGCGTTGACTCCGGCGATCATGGCTTCAGGCTCCGGTGAGGCACTCTGGCGGCATCAGGTCCCGTGCGGCAGCAAACGGAAACAGAAACTCAGGGAGCATTTTTGTTCCACTTTTTTTAAAACTTTATGTCTTTTTGCTGAAAGGATTCCATATTTATTTATTGTCAATCTATGAGTATGAACATCCCTTCTCTAATTACGTTTATTTATAGTTTCAATTCTTTGTTTGTTTAATGTTTAAGTTATACTAGATTCGTATCCGTGCGTTGCACGGGCAGAATAATTTGTTAATTGTAATATAGAAAAAAGTTTATATAAGAGACATTTGAAATTAAATTTAAATATAAATTGTACTACCTCCGTTTCTGAGTATTTGTCTAGTTTTGATTTTTTTCGGTGAATTGTTTTCAACCTTTGATCTATACAACAACAACAACAACCCAGTTAAGTCCCACAAGAGTAGGGTCTGGGGAGGGTGTGTGTACGCAGACCTTACCCCTATTCGAAAGTAGAGAGGCTGTTTCCAAAGAGACCCCCGGCTCAACATCGAAAGTTGCAGTGTTTGACTAACTGCTACTTCATTAATTAAAGAAACACATATAGTTTAGAGATCCATTTTGATTTATTCCATCACACCCCAAAGCCAAAAATGGTGAAATTTTGACTCCATCGGAGATGATGGAAAAACCTTTGATCTATAATTGAATAAAATATATATTGTATATTAATTAGATAAAATAGTATTTTAAAATATTTGATATAATAAATCAAATAAAACCAATTTTGCATCAATATCTAATACTCCCTCTGTTTTTTAAAACCCTTCCTCTTTCATTTTTTTTTTTGTTTTTCTTAAAACACTTCCCTTTTCTATTAAAAAACCACTTTTACCCCTACTTTTTCATACCCTACCTATCACATCATACCTTTTCACTAACAACTAAACTATCACATCTTACTTTTACCCATCACATCAAGGGCAAAATTAGAAAGTCAACTACAATTTAACACTTCCTTATTTTTCCCCAAAGTCAAAAGAGGAACCGTTTTGAGAAACGGAGGGAGTATCATTTTTATTTATTTTGAAGTCAAATTTTACTAATTTTATCAAAATAAGTAAAAAATGGACAAATACTCAGGAGCAGATGGAATACTTGTAAACTCAACATAATACATAATACTTGTATCAAATTACTTGAGTTAATGAAAATTTTAAAAGTACAAACTACATTACATTACTCTGACAATATATTTTTTAGTAGAGTTTTTTCAAAATGCACTCTCTAAATTCTTTTAGAAAAAACACCCTATAAAATATATAGATTATAATTTTTTTCATAATACGATATGTAAGACTAACAATGGTTCATTTGATTAGCACTCCACATAAATTTGGCAAACCTAAATCTTTTGAAAACTTAAAATCATACAACTGTATGGAATAACCTAACTTTTATTGTCTAATTGCATTTCAACAAATATGTTTATAATTAGTTCCTCTTTCAATTAGTTTGGTAGAAAATTTTTAAATTACCAAGTCAAAAGTCCAATGCTTTGTATATGAGAAAAAGAAGTAAACAGGTACTCCATATCAAAGATGGTTTATAAGTTTTCTTCTCAATGAGAAGAACCTAAAAAAATGATCTCACAACAAATAAGTAATAAAAAACGTGATAATTTTTTTTTTTTTTTGGGGGGGGGGGTGGGGGGAGGAACAATTGTAACTCAATTTAGCTAATAAAAAGTATCAATTGATTAATCTAACTATAGAGAGATCATTATTTAAAATTTAACAACCTGAAGGAAAAACAATAAATATTACGGAGTACAAAACAAATCCTCAAAAATCAACAGATTCAAAATTAACTTAAATTGTATATTAAAACGAACATATTAGCTTACAAATTCAAATTAGATAGAATTACGAATTGTAGAGGGTCCACAACATACTGAATAAAATTAATCTGTAAAAAAATATAAATAGAGTAAAACTTTTTTTCTGAAATATTACAATATTACATATATCCTTCAAGGAGAGCGGAAGAGGTGTTGGTCTGCCTTCTGCCTGGTTGTTTTGATCCCACTCGATGCTTGAGTACACATGTACTCCGTATTATGATAAGACTAATTGTAACCATTGCACATTTACTCCCAAAAAAATGATGAGTTAAGAACACTTAAACTGGTACAGGTTCTAGGCATACCATAGCAGTCAATTGAGTGCCCTGTCTGATAAACCCAATTGCCAATAGAGTATTCAGCCCATTAAAAGCAAGAATCAAACAATTATTATCTCTAAATAGGAAGACAAATGCTTATGAAATAAAAATGTTCATATAGTTCAAGAGACATGCTGCCTATTCAAAAACGACTTTAATGATCATATCACCATCAATCGATCTCCTTTAACTCCGAAACCACAGCCAACACGGCCACCCAGCCCCCAGCCTAACATGTGGTGCCATCACTCGATCATAACTTGTGTTTTGACATTAAAGATTACATGGCTTTTCATAGCAACTTATTTTGAAACATAGGGAGCATATATAGTTTCTAGTTTACTTCATAGTTGTCTACTTGTCTGATCCAAAAACAAATGAGCCTTTGAGTAGTGTCTTTCTCCCACTCTTGTCTAAATCATATAGTTCGAAGCAACATAAAAAGGAAATTTATCTGACAACCTCATTCAAAGTGATTCAAACGTAATGTTAACTTCATACCGCAAGAAATAATGAAAAAAATACAAATACTTGCATGTGAAATATCAATCTGGGCATATCTTAACAATCATCCAATCCACAGTTGCTAGACTTTGAACTTTTATAACTCAAGGATACTATTTTTAATAGTAATATTATTGATAAACCTAAAATAAGCTAATATAAAAAAGACAGATTGCAGTTAAAAAAAATATAGAGAAGTATTCAAACCTGTTTTTTTGCTAGATTTTGTTTTTATGCAGCAGCAATAATCTGGAAGCTAAGAAATTTGGATATGAAGCAGTGCAAAAGAGGGTATCACAATTCAAAGAAAGTTACCTCCGACTCCATCTGTACTTTTTCCATAATTGTCCAATCCACCACCATCCTGGCCATTGATGCAATCCACCTTCGCAAGAAGTAATGTTTTAAATCTAGAAACCCAAAATATCAAAAGACTTAAAATTATATTTTACAAATAAAGGAAATAAAAGAAAATGAGAAATAAAGAAATACACAAAAAAAAGCCAAAGCCAAACCCAGGAATAAATGCAGTGAAGGATAGTCTCCTTCAACTCCAATTCCAAATCAACATCTATAAAAGAGAGTTAAAGTTGCAGTTTGATATATTAAAATTGCAGTATGATTTGTTAAGCATATGAAATGCATAAAAAAATGCAGTTTGATACATTCACAATCACACAGAGCAAAATACAGGGGATAATTGAACTATCAATGGAAGGAATTTATCAAATTCCATATAAGATGAGAAGTGATGCGGCGAAATTCGAGGAAAAGAAGCTAAGGAGCTAGATCTGACCTATACTTGATATGAAGACGCCAAACTTCTCTCTGGTAGATTGGATGACATAAAGTTCCAATACTAACTTTATAATATGATGCAAAACCATTTATATATCTCTCAAATCTTTCAAGTTTCAATACCCTGAACATGTCATAAAAACAATAAAAACCAATGAAACAATTGTATGCACAGTAAAAAAAACTTATAGCATCAAATTGCAATAACTTAAAAAACACATCTTTGAGCAAACCAACTTAAACAAAACTCATCTTTAAGCAAACAATTAAAATGTATATGCCAAAAGAATATGTCAACATGGGAACCCTTTCTCCCATCTTTATTTGATAGTTTTCAGAAGTTGAAAAGGTATACTCTATTATGCTCGTACTTGAAAAGGTATACTCTATATGTGATTAAATAATGGCTATCTAATTTGATTTTCTAGATCTACACTCATGCATTTACTTTCAAGATATAACAACATTACCCTAGTGCCTCAAAACTACCATAAAATTTAAAATTAAAAATAAAAAGGAACATAATTATCAGAACATCTATATCACTCCACCCGGAAAAGATTGGTTAGGGTTCACTTTAGAAAAGATCAACATAAATGAAGAAAAAGATGATATATAAATCAAAAGAAGAAGATTTGGCACCTTAAATTGTGGAAGCAATTGAAGAAATTTATACAAACCATGCTTCCTGGAGAATGAGTGTTTCTGCACGGTAGATTTGTAAAGTTCTCCATGGCAAGTCGGTTTTGAAACAAATACTGAAATTCTCATCTGCATAATAGTCAAAGGGCAAACACAAAGTAAGATGATGATCTCCCTAGTACGTGTTCCTCAATCTCTTCATATATAGACGAATAATGATAGATTCAGACAGCTCATTTTACCCTTGTAGTGGCTCACTCAAACACTTTCCCGATTAAAAAAATTAATGAATACCAAAATGTACTGAAGAATTTATACTAAGCAATTAAAGAGTTAAATTGAAATATAACTAACTAATTGATCAAATCTCAATCTTTGTTAGCACCAAATACATTTCATTATTTTGATGAGTTTCTCAAGTTCATCCAAATTAACTAAGATACAAATTGTGCGTAGAAAATGAAATACCTCATTGATAGATGATGGATGGATAAGGAAGAACTCTAAAGATGAGCTGCTGTCACTCCCTCAGAGCTATCCTCCGCCCTTAGTCTATTCGCTGTTTGCTGTTGGAGTTTTTAAAGAAAAAGAGAGAGAAAAGTGGCAACTGAAAACATCAATGCAAATGAATTTGCCAATCAAAGCTATTCTGTATTTATTCAAGAGAGAAAAAAGTGTGCATTCTATCAACCAAGTTTAGTACAATAAACAATTTGGATAGATTATTGTCAATTATTTCCGTGACAATTTTTTCTTTCTTTCTCTGTTCAAACTCAGTAGCTATCCTTCTCTCCTCAGCCTCTTAAGTTATCTTTTGTTGTTTTAGCCATTTTAAACTCAGGAGCTATCCTTCCCTCCTTAGAACCAACTATATAGAAAAATGTTTAAATGAAAGAAGAAAAGGATGTTACCCCTAGCAATTGACCCATTCACAACATAAGGTTCATACTGAAATTTTAGTGAAACATCATCAGGTCAAATATCCAAAGCAAAAATCAAAACAAAATAAAAAACTGAAGACAAATACATCAAGTTTAGCAAAATTTGTATGAATGCCATTGAATAAATAGATTTATCTATTTAGAAATGAATATTTACAGGGAACCAAGATTATACAATGAAAATACTTTGCCTAGATGTTTCAACCTCCCCTGTAGTTGTTGTCAGAATCCCTTTGTCGAGGCAAGGGTTAAAAACCTAGCCAAGCCCACCACCATCCTCACCATGGTGGCCTTCCACCTTCTGCAGGCCAAGGGTTATAAATCTGGAAACCCAAATGATCAAAAGGCTAAAATTATGTTGTATATACGGAGTATAGATATATTAAAGAAAAAAGAAGAAAAAAACATTACCTTCATTGAATCTGCTCATCGCTCCTATTGTCTCCAAAGTTTAACTGCCGTCAATCCCAAGCCCGGTTTAATCTGTTATTCGGTTTCCCTGAAGGTGAGAACCTGATGCTACTAAGGCTATGAAAAATTTCCATGAAAGATATGCATATCTTGCAGCCAAACATCGTATTCAACTTAATTGGCCGCGAGAGAGAGGAGAGGGTGTCGATTGAGTTTGCCAGTTGAGGTCGGCGGCTTCTCTTAATTAAGTGTATGAAATTTGACTAAATGAGAAAGGATTGCATAATCCTATGTCCCTCACCTACCTAGAATCATATTGAGCACATAATGGAAGAAGCTTGCCTGGTACGCTGGCAGGAAAATGGGGTATATGGCTGGGAGACACTCTCAAGATATTTTGTACAGTAAATCAATTAAATTAATATACTTTCTGCTGCAAAAATCACCCTATAGCCGTGCTAATATAGACTTCCAGAGCAGGACCCCTTACCCGGCTGTCATCTTGTGCCCTTGTTTTTACCCAACCCATTTGACAGTGACCCGACCCATTATATTTGAGTGGGAACGCTACAACAACATAAGAGTGATGGAATTACACAAAACATTATTGACACTTGCAGTAAAGTAGACGTTTGTAACTCAACAAAGTTGGGAGCATGCCTATGAAATTGGAACTGCACAAATATGAAGATAATTTAATGCAAGTTAAATAAAAAACATTCCGTAAAAAACTAACTGACCAAGACCAGACCAGCAGGGTACACAGGCATGCCATGTCCCAGAGAAGGTGCCATAAGAGAAATTAGATTTCCAAAAAGCTGTGTGGTAGTCAGGAGTTTTCAAACGATATGAAATGTTGAATAAGCATTGTTGTCAGTTAGATTGTCAAAGGTAATGTTTAAAAATGGATGGAAATGTCATACGGTAAACAGATGGGGAGCATAACGGACTACGGTGGTTTTTGTTTAGCCTAACTTGGAGTTTTGTTCACAGAACTCACTAAGACATTTCATCGAACAGGTGGTGACTCTTCTTTGCCCCTGCAAACTGAAAAGAGACCGGAAATGCCTGGGACCTTGAAGGTGTACAATAACACAATATAACTAAAACGAAGTAGAAAAAGCAAAAAACACACTGCAAACTTCCTGGACCTATGTGCGAATAATTTCTGTAATGTTGGGTGAAAATTTCTCTCCCAACTCTACAAATTAAGTTTTAAAATTGTAGAGAATACCTGTAAAGATGACCAAAAGTACAAATCGACCCTACACTGTCCTCGCCTGAACCTGTGACCATCCATCTTACCACCCTCGTCGCCATGGACACATGTCTCCATGAATATAAAAAAACTTAAAATACTACTATACATATAAAAAATTAAAATATAAATAAAAAAGGGTGTTACCTTCTTCCTGAATCGGAGAATCCAACCCCTTCTTCTACTTCTTCTCGTTCTCCGATTGGCCGGATTGGGTACACGCTGCAGACTCCGGCCGAAGATAAGAGCGGCGGCGCACGTCTCTGCTGAAGCACCACATCTGAGAGGATGAATGACAGCGTTGAAAGAAACCTAGACAAAATCGCATGCAAAATCCCAGACCAAAATCGCCATTACTCCAGACTCCAGTACTCCAAAGCTCCTCTCGTGCGAAATCCCAGACCAAAACGCCGGAAGATTTTTTATCCAAACGTGCGGTCCAAACATACGGCGTAAGCTTCGAGCCTCATTTTCCAGCCTCTCCATACGATAGGCCCATTAGGCAGTGACCCGGCCCAATTTTTTGGGCGGGAACACTGTTCATCTTTCCCTTCTACCATTACTAGTATCACACCCGTGCGTTGCACGGGTCATTTTTATGTTATTAAATTCAAATCATTTTTCAATGATAAAAATGAGATGCAATAAAATATAGAGATTATATTATTTTAAGGTAAAAAACATCACTATTTTACAAATTTCGAAAGACTTCTTTATAGACTACATTATTGTACAATTTGTGGGAATATTTATAGTGTATTTAATTGTAATAAACTATAGGCTATTATGATTATAATTATATTAAGAAGGGTTAACTTTTTCGAAATTGGGTGTATAATTATTCTTACCATAATTATTTTTTCGAAATTGGGTGTATAATTGTATAACTTACCTTTTTAATTATTTCCAATTTTCAAAAACTTACTCTTTGCATTTGTATAACTTACCTATATTTAAAACTTACGTCTTGGATTTGTATAACTTACCTTTTTTAATACGATAATTATTATAAATATAATAATTATATTAACTTACGATGGCTTACCATTTTATATTACTCACGTTAATTATTATAAAAATAATTATATTAACTTCCGATGGTTAGAAATGATAGTTACTTATTCTTACAATAATTTTAGACGTTTCCAATCAGTAGTCCAAATAACATTGGTTAATTATTAACATATAATACATTGATTCCAATTTTATTAGAACTTACGCTCTACGATTTTATAACTTACCTTTTTTAATTATTTCCAATTTTCAATACGTTAATTATTATATATAATAATTATATTAACGTCACGCTTACCATTTTATATTACTCACGTTAACTATTATAAAAATATTAGCTATATTAACTTCACACTTACAATACGTTAATTAATTATTATAAAAATAATAGCTATTATTATATTTATACATTTTTCAATAATTATAAATCCACAATTTCGGCCAATTACCATTTTAACATCACAATTATTTACTTACTTTTTGGCCGTTTTATAATTATTATAAATATAATAATTATAATAATTACTACTACAATTTCGGTCACTACAATTATTAACTTACTTTTTTTAATTAGTTCTAATTTTAATTATTATATTTTTACCTTTTATTAATAATTATACCTTCAGAATTTCGGCCACTTACCATTTTAATTTTACAATTATTTACTTACCTTTTCCCCATTTTATAATTATTATAAATATAATATTATAATAATTATTACTACAATTTCGACCACTAAATTATTAACTTAACTTTTTTAATTATTTTCAATTTTCAATACGTTAATTATTATATTTATACCTTTTTTTAATAATTAGAACTTCACAATTTTGGCCACTTACCATTTTAACTTCGCAATTATTAACTTACCTTTTGGCCTTTTTGTAATTATTATAAACATAATAATTATAATAATTATTACCGTAATTTCGGCCACTGCAATTATTAACTTACCTTTCGGCCATTTTAACTTACCTTTCTTTAATTATTATAAATATAATAATTATAATAATTATTAATATAATTTCGTCCACATACCATTTTAACTTCACAATTGGCATTTGTAATTGTCATGCTTTTTGGGCGGGAAAATCATATGTTGACTCCATGCCTTTTTAAATAAAGTATGGATGATAATCATAATTACATACAATTTGGTATATTTTCAATGATTTACTCTTATTTTAGTCATTTTCCTTTTAATGTTTAATTACTTTCCGTCTTTCCATTCATGGAGTAATTTACCTTTGTATAATTGTATTACAACGTACTTCAATAATCACATTATTTTTGGATAGTTATTGGTTTTATATTTTGTACTTTGACTTCAATATGACTTCAATAATTCACGTTAAATTTATTTAAGAATCAAAAGGTTTCCTTTTTTTTAAGATTATTTTTATGTTTCTTAATGTTTTAAAAGTATTTCCTTTTTTAAAGGTAGACACGTCTCACCAATCACTTCCCTTAATAAAAACCTTTTATTTACTGCACACGAATTCTAAAAAAAATATGTAACAAATCTCGCAATTAAATTTCTTTCCATTACAAATATTTCTATAAATATTGTTAGACAAATTACTAATCGTTATTGTTAGACAAATTCCATAAAAATTTTCATCACTAATCGCTTCCCTTATTTAAAACCCTTTATTTAGTGCACTAAATAAATAATTTAGTGCACTAAACCCTTATTTAAAACCCTTTATTTAGTGCACTAAATAAATAATTTAGTGCACTAAACCCTTTATTTAGTGCACTAAATTCCATAAATAATTTTCATCTCTAATCGTCTCACATATAATTCTTTCTCCGGAATTTTAAGCAAATACAACTAAAGTTTATTATGGTAATTACATCTTTAAATACTTTTCTGTTATATGTTCTCATTTTCTTTAGTTACCTTTTATTATTACCATTTGTATAAATGGTTTTATTTCATACGTTTTTAAATACAAAAATATATACAAAAATATAGGAGCTAAATTAAATAAAATTTCCATTTGTACCTTTTTTATACACATTTATATTATATAAAGTTTTTTATGGTAATTACACGGTTTTATTAAATAAACATTCGTTATGATTTTAATTACACAGTTATATTAAATTACCCTTAATAAAAACCCTTTATTTAATGCACACGAATTCTAAAAAAATATGTAACAAATCTCGCAATTAAATTTCTTTCCATTACAAATATTTCCATTAATATTGTTAGACAAATTACTAATCGTTATTGTTAGACAAATTCCATAAAAATTTTCATCACTAATCGTTTCCCTTATTTAAAACCCTTTATTTAGTTCACACATATTCTAAATGGTAACATATAATTCTTTCTTCGGAATTTTAAGCAAATACAACTAAAGTTTATTATGGTAATTATATCTTTAAATACCTTTTCTATTATATGTTCTCATTTTCTTTAGTTACCTTTTATTATTACCATTCGTATAAATAATTTTATTTCATACGTTTTTAAATACAAAAATATATACAAAAATATAGGAGCTAAATTAAATAAAATTTCCATTCGTACTTTTTTTATACACGTTTATATTAAATAAAGTTTTTTATGGTAATTACATGGTTTTATTAAATTAACATTCGTTACGATTTTAATTACACGGTTATATTAAATTACCATTTTTAGTTGAGATTACCATACACGGTTACGATTTTAATTACACGGTTACATTAAATACCATTTAGTAATTACCATATGTAGTTAAGAATTACCATATTTTATACACCATAAAATGAGCGGGAAAAGGCCAATGCAAATTCATGGCTTTTTAAATAATAGATAGATATATATATAGATTATAAGTGTTGAATTGTTTGAGTGTTGACGTTGATTTGTTCAAATCTAATTTATTAATTGATTATTGTCTCTGGAATTATGAAACTTTTGTAGGCCGGATTATTTGACAAAAATGACTGAATCTTTGGTTTGATGGTTCTTGTTATATAATATGGCTTTGAAGTTTTAGCCTTTGCGCTACTGTCAAATCTAAACTCAAAAAGGTGTTTGAGAAAACTGGTCTTTGTTTAAACTTGGATTAAATTTATTTAGGACGGCCGCCTAAACTCTAATTCCAGTTGACAGTTTTAAGATCTTGAGTACGTTTATAGCTGAGATTTTTAAAACACAAGTGTCACCTGGTTAATACTTAATTGGCTCCTACCCAATTTTTATTAATCAGAGTTTTCAAGCTGGCTATGTTAGAGCAGAGTTAGGGCAGGTCTTAGGGAGTACTCCCTCCATTCCATATTAACTGTCCATTATAACTTTCTTGGTACATTGAAAAATAAATGAATGTAGACATAAAGTATGTCTACATTCATTAATTTTTCAATGTATCAAGAAAGTCATAATAGACAGTTAATATGGAATGAAGGGAGTATATGAAAGTCAAAGTGTTGAAAAAAATTAAAGCAATATAAATGTGCAATTGAGCGGAAACATACTTGAGCTTAAACAACAGTAAAATAAACTTTAGTTTTATTCCATTGAGATTTAAGAGCAACCATTGAGATTTAAGAGCAACAACTATGTAAGTTTTAGCAACGATCAGAGGTCATGCTCACACACAATGTGTTAATACTTGTCTTAAGAATGTCACATGAATGCAAATAGAGAGTAACATAGTTGATGAATCTTTGGATAAAATGATATGAACGTATGACATACATACTTTAAAATATCTTAGTGAGGGTGTATTCCATCGCCTTTTCCACCTCCTCCAACACCACCTCCCGCACCACCACCTCCGCCAGCCCCTATTCCCCCTCCAAATCCTCCACCTTTTCCGAATCCTCCACCGACACCTATAGCACCACCAGCCCCTCCACCGGCTCCTCCACCAACACCTATACCACTGCCATGACCTCCCTGAACACCACCACCACCACCGAAACCACCTCCGACTCCACCACCC